GGGAGATCACTGTGCATCTTTTGTGCATTCTATTGTACTGGATTTTTTTTTCAATTTAATGGTGTATTTTAGGGATCCTTCCACGTCAGTACATATAGAAGCATTTCATACATTTAATACATACATTTTACTTATTGTTCCATAACATGAATGTAATCTACTTTTTAAACCATTCCCTTTTGATGAATGTTAAGGTCATTTCTATTTTTTTCCTGTTGCAATCAATGCTATAATGAACAAACGTCCTTGTTATACGTTATATGTGTACAGAAGTTCAAGATTCTTAAGACAGAGACCAAGAATGGAATTAAGGGTTTGAAGGGAGGCACAATTAAATTTTTGATAGACACTGACAGACTATTTTCAAAAAAAGTTGTCCCAATTTACAATTCCACCAATACTGTGTGAGAGTATTAATTTCCCTCACCTTTACCATCTGGATTTACTCAATTTAAAAATATTTTTCAAGCAATGAATTTTAAAATAGCTCATTTTTGTACTTTGCTTTTCTGATTGTTAATGATTGCACACCTTTTCATGTTTGTTAGCATTTGTATTTTTTCTGTGAATTGCCAATTTTTCTACTTATGAATTTGTAGGAAGTCTTTTTTTTAATATAAGTTTATTTATTTATTTATCTTTGGCTGTGTTGGGTCTTCATTGCTATGCACGGGCTTTCTCTAGTTGCGGCCAGCAGGGCTGCTCTGTTTCAGTGCACAGGCTTCTCATTGTGGTGGCTTCTCTTGTTGTGGAGCACGGGCTCTAGGTGTGCGGGCTTCAGTAGTTGTGGCTCGCGGGCTCTAGAGCGCAGGCTCAGAAGTTGTGGCACATGGGCTCAGTTGCTCCATGGCATGTGGGATCTTCAAGGACCAGGGACCGAATCCATGTCTCCTGCATTGGCAGGCGGATTCTTAACAACTGCGCCACCAGGGAAGCCCTGTAGGAACTCTTTATATTTAATTTTATGGTGGTTTTTGTGAGAAGTTTTAATTTTTCATGTAATTAAATGTATCAGTATTTTTCTTTGTGGTTTCTAAATTTTATGTCTTGTTAAGAATGCCTTCCTGGGACTTCCCTGGTGGCGCACTGGTTAAGAATTCTCCTGCCAATGCAGGAGACATGGGTTCAAGCCCTACTCCGGGAGGATCCCACATGCCGTGGAGCAACTAAGCCTGTGCGCCACAACTACTGAGCCCATGCGCCACAACTACTGAAGCCCGGTCCACTAGCAAGGCTCCCTCTGGCACAACCTGGTCTCAGGGGAGCATCGACACATTCAAAAAGTCAGTTCTGGCTCTCACCCTCAGATGAGTGCTCCAAGTCCCTGTCCTCAGGTGGCTCAGACAAAGGCTGTTGCAAACGTGTTTGGTCCCTGACAACTCTGCTTCCCTCTCTTGGACTAAGCCGAGATCATGAGCTCTCTGTCTCTCAGAGGACAGCAAGACAGCAGCAGGGGAGCAGCTTTTAGCTGGGGGAAAGGAGGGAAGGGAGGAGAATTATTTACTATTGGGCACTTACTCTGTGCCAGACACGCAGGAACATGCACATATATGGTTTAACTTCCTCCTCACAACATCCTTGAGCTGTAGGTGAAGGGACTTGTCCCAGGTCCGTAGAGCTAGTATGTTGTGGAACTGGGATTTGAACCCAGGACCACCTGATTGGAAAGTCTGCACTCTGGAGAAGCTGGGGATTCACCCAGAGTGTTTTACCTAGGCCCCTCCACTGGACCATTTCTAGTTCCCATGGTTTACACATTAATTGCTTATTCATTCATTCCATACATTTCCCTGAGTAGGCATTTGGTGCCAAGTAACATGTTAGGCAACAGAAACAAAAACCTGAATTCCTGAATAAGGCATAAGCCCTGCTTTCAAGGATTTATAATGTAATGGGAGCCAGGCCTGAACTGAGACAGAAGACCAGGAGCTGAGTTAATTTATACCACCAAGGGAGGCCCTGTGGTAGTCTGGCCAGAGGGCAAGTAGCTTTAACATGAGAATGAGAATTCAAGGTTTGGTGTCATGGGGGTGCAAATAGATTGCCAATTCTCTGTCCATTCCCCACGCTGTCCTGTAGACGTGTGGGGTGTGGGAAAATGAGCAGACACCATCAGAGAGAGCTGAGGGGAAGTGGTATTCTGGGGCAGAGCTTCCTCTCAGACACAGCAGGAAGTGGAAGGAGAGCTCGTCGAACAGACTGAGGTTTAGGAGAGTTTATTGACTACAGAACATTGGTTTGGCAGGGCTCAGAAGGGCTCAGTCGGAAAGGGGGCAGTGGGTGCCTGAGTGGGAGTGAGTTTTGCAAGAATGTAGATCATCAGAGCAGTCGAGAATGGCAGGGGTGAGAGACTGAGGAATTGAGGCATTGCAGTCATGACTATGGCCTAAACACATTTCATACTCAGGTTTCTGAGGCTATATTCAGTACAGGAAACAAGCTATGGTTTCTGCTCAGTGTACCAAATAAAATATGGGGGGAAATCTATTAGAAAGTGAGAGGGGGGAAAGTCAACCTCAAACCAGGCTGGAAGCCACCAGCACTGTGTGAATGGGAAGAATTTAGCCTGGAGTGGAGAAGGGAGGTGGCTACTAGGCTTAACTCAAAACTTGACCTTTGGGGCTTCCCTGGTGGCGCGGTGGTTGAGAGTCTGCCTACCGATGCAGGGGACACGGGTTCGTGCCCTGGTCCGGGAAGATCCCACATGCCGCAGAGCGGCTAAGCCTGTGAGCCATGGCTGCTGGGCCTGCGCGTCCGGAGCCTGTGCTCCGCAACGGGAGAGGCCACAACAGTGAGAGGCCTGCAAAAAACTTGACCTTTGGGGGCTTCCCTGGTGGCACATTGGTTAGGAATCCACCTGTCAATGCAGGGGACACAGGTCGGGCCCTGGTCTGGGAAGATCCTACATGCCGCAGGGCAACTAAGCCTGCGCACCACAACTACTGAGCCTGCGCTCTAGAGCCCGGGAGCCACAACCACTGAAGCCTGCACTCCTAGAGCCCGTGCTCCACAACAAGAGAAGCCACCGCAATGAGAAGCCCACGCACCGCAACGAAGAGTAGCCACTGCTCGCCACAGCTGGAGAAAGCCCGCGCACAGCAACAAAGACCCAACGCAGCCAAAAATAAATAAATTTATTAAAAATTAAAAAAAAAAAAACTTGGCCTTTAGTTGGTTTTCCTTATCCTCTTAACTGTCAACCAGTCTCTTCTTTTACTGAATACTTCCTCCCCTTCAAACTTTCTGTCCCCTATCATTGTTTCCAGTGAATATCTGGCTTAACGGAGAAGCAGCATGGCACTATGGAAAGAACTTGGAGTATGGCATCAGTAGACTAGAGTCCAGTTACTTGATTAAAAGTCTCAGTTCTATAGCCAGCTGGGGATGGAATCAGCCAGAACTAGAACGCAGGATTTAGAACTCCAATTTTTCCATGCTTCTCAGCCATATCATGTAATGCAAAGCCTGATTTTCTTAGCTCCTCTGAGGTTGTTTCCTCATCTACACAAATACCTTTCTTTATAATATCTACCTTACAGGTGGTTGTGAAAATTAGATGACATGTGAAGCCCATAACAAAGTGCCTGGCCATGGTGTGCCCCAAATATTTTTTAAAATCATTTTTATGATACAAAAATTATTTGGCTGTATGGCTGCACATTGTAGGTGCTCAAATAACTATCACACTACACGTGTTATGGGCTGAATTGTGTCCCCTCAAAATTCACACCTTGAAATCCTAAGCCTCATTACTTCAGAATTCACTGTATTTGGAGAGAGGGCCTTTAGAGAGGCAATTAAATTAAAATGAAGTCTGTAAGGTGGGCCTTAATCCAGGATGACTAGTGTCCTTATAAGAAGAGGACATTTGGACACAGATGTGTACAGAGGAAAAACCATGCGAAGACACAGGGAGAAGATGTCATCTACAAGCAAAAGAGAGAAATCTCAGAAGAAACCAATCCTTGATCTTGGATGTTTATCCTCCATAACAGTAATAAAATTAATTTCTGTTGTTTAAACCACTCAATCTGTGGTACTCTGTAATGGCAGCTCTAGCAAATGAGTACAACATATACACATTGTCCCTTTTTAACTGGTGGGCACAGAGCTGCCTCATTCTGAAGACTAGAAACTCCTTCTTGGCCTATGTTCTCCAACTCAAAGTCCCAACTGAAAGCCCCAAGGATGCTGGGTCTACTGGGCTGACCGCACCACCCTGGAGTGGGGTGTTGCTCCTTTGGCTCTTGGCTGCTACAGTGAAGTCTTCCAAGAAAGCAAAACTTTTCTCTTTGAAGTGACTGGTGACTTGCTGAGCAGAGGTCATAGACAGAACTCATCATTCATCATAGTCCATTCCCGTGGTGCTTTCGGATGCATGGGTTGGGAAGAGCGCCTGGGTGTACAGTCTTGGATGAAGAAGTGGAAGGAAAATGCTGCGTCCGTGGTGACCCCGGTGTTCTCAGTCCCAGGACAGTGGAGAAAGAGGAGACAGAGGAGAAAGAAGTGGTCTGAGGTGGGAGGAAGGAGTAGAGGTGTCAGACGTGCATCTCAGGACACTTTCCACGGGCGGAAGTGGAGAGCTGTGTCTGGATCAGTGGGGTCTGCAATCCCGATCTTTCTCCGGGCACTTGTGTATTGGGATTCTCTGGGAGGACAGCATGTAGACCCCCCAGAGCCCTTCGCTGGGGAAGGCCTCCCTGAGCTATAGGGCAGTGAGGGCGGGCGGGCGGGCGCGCCCCCGACACGTCCTCTGGGCGCTGCCCCCTCAGGGCGCGCGCGCCCACCCCCGCCCCACCCCGCCTCTGCCCCGCGCCGGGCCGGGTGGACCCGGCTTCCGGGGCTGTGCACGCCCCCTCCGTGAGCCGGGACCCCTGGCTGCGCGCGGCCCGCGCCCTCTCACCGCCAGACGGGCGCGCGCGCTGGCTCCCGCTCCCGCTCCCGCTGGCGGCGGCGGCGGGGATTGTTTTTGTTGTCGCTGAGGCCGGAAGAGCCGCGGGAGCCGGGTCCCTGTCCCCGGGCCGGGCGCCGCCGCCGCCCCTTGCTCAGCGCCCGCGTCTCCGCGGCGCCCCCATAGCGCCAATATTCCGGAGATCAAGCGTTACGCCGCGGCGGCGGCGGCGGCGGCGGCGGGGCCCGGAGCGGGAGGCGCCGGGGACCGCAGCGAGGCGGCCCCCCCCGCCGCCATGGAGGCGCTGGGACCCGGTGAGGAGGACGCTCGGGCCGGGACCAGGACCGGACCCGGGGACGGGTGGGCGGGCGGACGGGCTGGCAGCTCCCCGTGGCCCCCATCGGCTTGTGCGTACCTGGGTTGGGCCGTCAGGCCTGGGTGAGGGGGACCCCGGCGGGGGGGGGGGGGGGGCCGGGTTCCGCGCCCCAGGCTGGAGATCTGAGCCAGTTCTCGAGGTCTAAGGAAGGAACGAGGTCACGGAGGAAGGTGACCCGCGTCCCCAGGTCCCAGGGAGACCTGACCCAACCTCAGGGAGGTGGTTTGTGCTCCAGGGTGGAGGCGAGGCCAGTTTGGGCTTCAGAAGGGACGCGATCTGTGCCAGGTGCGCAGCGGAGGCCTGGCCCTGACCGGACCGGACCAGGAAGGACTCCACCATCTACTACCAGGGGTATTCTTGGCTTGGGACCGCACCCCTATTTTTCTTTGCACTGACAGACAGTCCAGAGCCCTTAGATAAGGAAGAAAGAGAACTTCCCCTAAACATTTCTCATTAGCCCCGAAGGCCAAGGGGCAAAGTGTCCACCCTTTCTCAAAGGCCCTGAAGTCTCGGGGAATGTGGCCTTCGGCCTCTGTCTACCTGTCAGTCTGTGCAAGAGACCCAGAGTGGTCTGTCGTGGTTCCTCAGTGACAGGCGAGTTACCAGCCAGAGGCTCCAGCTCCGGCTTTAATACTCTGAGTATCTTCTAATTGGGTTAGAAGTAGTTGTGAGGATCAAATGAAGGAGAAAGTGCTTTGGAAACTGTATTATGAATGGCCTCTGGTTATCTCCTCGGCTCTGCCCAAACAAGAAGAACCATTCCAAGTTGTAACAAATGCCCTGCAGATTGGAGTCTGCTGCTCCCACCTGGAACCCCAACAGGTTTCTGATGTCTTGGCTAAGTAGGGCAGGGTTTAGGGGCTGTGTTAGAATTAACTTTAATATCATACCTTATCTACATAGTAGTCTTAGTTGTAGAGCATTTCATTATTTTAGTGCATAGAAAACTCAGTCTACCATTTGAGTTTGGAAACTTTGCAAGTTTGTTTACTTGAAACTTGTTTACATAGCTGAATGATTCAACTCTAATTTGCTGCTTAGAGTATTTTTTTTAAGTCTTTATTGAATTTATTACACTATTGCTTCTGTTTTATGTTTTGGTTTTTTTGGCCACGAGGCGTGTGGGCTCTTAGCTCCTGACCCAGGGATCCAACCCCCCACCCCCTGCACTGGAAGGCGAAGTCTTAAGCACTGGACCGCCCGGGAAGTCCCTAGAGTTTTGGGATTCTTTTTAATTAATTTATTTATTTTGGCTGCTTTGGTTCTTCGTTGCTGTGCATGGCTTTCTCTAGTTGCAGCGATCAGGGGCTACTCTTCGTTGTGGTGCGTAGGCTTCTCGTTGCGGTGGCTTCTCTTGTTGCAGAGCACAGGCTCTAGGCACTCGGGCTTCAGTAGTTGTGGCTCGCGGGCTCTAGAGCACAGGCTCAGTAGTTGTGGCGCACGGGCTTAGTTGCTCCGAGGCATGTAGGATCTTCCCGTACCAGGGCTCAAACCCGTGTCCCCTGCATTGGCAGGAGGATTCTTAACCACTGCACCACCAGGGAAGCCCCTTAGAGTATTTTTTAAAGGACTTCGTAGTCAAATTTCATTTGCCTTTTAAAAATAAATTGGTTTTGTCACATTAATATTATTTGATAAACCTCAGTGTATTACACAGGGTTACTTCAGCTATGTCCCCCGGCTAAAGGCATGATCAGGTCTTTAGGAATGTAACAGACTTCTGTTCAAATCCAATCTAGTAATTTAATAGTTGCATAACCTTGGGCAAATTACTTAATTCCTTTGAACTTTCATTTCCGCATCTATAAAAAAGGGTAATAATAATTATGTGCTGCAAGATTGTTGTGAGAATGAAATAAGGTAATGTATGTGGGAAGCCTTGTTGTAGATAGTAATGCATTGGAGATATTCAACAAATGTTTCTGCCCTCCCTCCCCTGCTAGAAAGTCATAATTGAATCAACTGTTGCATTTGTGAGCTGATATTGAAAGAGACTAGGTAACTGTGTATACAAACCAAATTTCATGGAAAAGATCAACCTGGCAGTGTTAGGAACGTCCCAGGGACTCTCTTTTTGGTTTGATTTTAGATTTTGCAGGACTTATCATTTCACCCAGGATTGAGGAAAATTAATTCTCACTAACCACATTCATAAGACACTAATGAATAAGCCACAATGTGACATAGATCTTTTCCGTTGACTGGAATATTTTCTTGCCTGCTGTCTAGCAAACTCCTTTTTTGGTGTCACAGTACCTTCGAAACCCAATTAATAACAAGAAGCTGCTTGCTGAGCATGGAATTAGAGCAAAGGGAGTTGATAGTCTAGTGGGATGTTTCATCCAGGCTAAGAACCTAGAGAAGCTTTCCTGCTTCTTTGTTAAAGCACATGGATCTAGTGCTCTGTTCCCTCCTAGCTTGAACAATCACTGAAGCATGTTTAGTCTTGCTCTGCTCTCCCTCACCCAATTTCAATTTCTGACAACAGTAACTTGGAAATAAATATATTTAATTATATTACCATTTATTTTGCTTATATTAGTAGTAATATTGATTTTTACAGTGCTTTACAGTTTGGAAAGTGCTTTCTTAGCTGCTAGCTCATTTAATTCTCTGTGAGGTAGGCAAGGCAGGTATGATCCCCATTTTACAGATGAGAAAATAGGTTCAGAGAGCTTAAGTGAGATGAGAAAATAGGTTCAGAGAGCTTAAGTGACTTTATTAAGGTCTCAAGGCTGAGTGGTGAGGGTGAGTCTGGGTCACCTGACTCCTAGTCTAATGCCCTCCTCTTCTATTAAGCTGACTTCATCTAATCTGTATTGAGTCATATTTGTTACCTTTTTGGAAGATGTCATTCTCTGACTTTGTCACTAAATTTTGGAGATGCTCCCCACATGAAGACCTTTGAGCAATAACTATAACATTTATGCAAGCTCAGTCATAATAGCTAACATTTATCGAGTGCTTACCATTGTGAGGCACCGTGTTAAGCCTTTTATATACATTGTCTCATGAGATCCTCACAGTAGCCTTATGAGATGGATGCTATTATTATCATACCTCCTCCATTTTATAGATAAGGAAACTGATGCACAGATTGGCTAAGAAACTGGCCCTAGGTCATGCAGTTAGGGAGTGGTAAAACCAGGAGTTCCAGAGCCTTAGCCACTGTGATTTATTTCTTTGTAAGTCGTTTGATAAATTCAAAGAAAAGTCTAAACTTACTAAAAGGAATGATCACTCACCTTCTAACTTTTCTCTCTTGCCATGGAAAAGACACACACTCTGCTTTTCTCCACTTCTTAATCCCTTTCCTTCATTTCTTCTGCCTCTGCCTCTTTAAAGGGCATCAAGTACTTTAGAGAGGTATAGATGCCATAGGATTGTGAAGTAAATTGGAGAAGAAAAAGCCCTGAACTGGGAGTAAGGAGACCTAGTCTAGTCATACGTCCTTGGGCAAGTCACTTGATCCAAATTTCTGTTTGCAAATTTCTGTCATAAAGCTGGGTTTGTGATACAAAGATTGCTTAAGCATATCTTGGAATATGCAGGGCTGACTTTTTTATGTGATTTAATTGGGTTAATTCAGTACGCCTGTCTACCTCTGATATTATTTATTATCTACTTCTTACCTTGTTTATAAATGCCATATCACCAAGAGTAGATCCCCTTGTTCACCAGAAGTGGAACTCAACTCCAAGGAATAATAATTTTTTTAGTATAAATTAAGTGCTTTTTTGTTTTAATGAAAAGATAATCGTCAATTCTTTTGTTTTGGAAATGACTACGTTTCTGTTTAGTTTCTACCTGGATCTGCTACAGGGATTATTGGTACTGTTCAGTTCAACATTTATTGAATTCCTACAATGTGCTCATCATTGAATTAGGTATTGAGATAACAACGAACTGGAAGTCCCTTTCTTCTAAGAGTTTACAGTCTAGTGAAGGAGACAGTAATTTAACAAGTTGTTTCTAGGTACTTGTCCTAAGTGCTCCCTTATACAGAAGTTCTTGGGAACACAGAAGATGCATCCTCCAGCCTGGGATATTCTGGAAAGGCTTTCCAAGGAGGTTGCACTCAAGCTGAGTTTTGAAGGATGAGTATAATTTAGGGGAAGAAGGAACAATGAATTTAATACGTGAAAAGATTTTCAGTACTTTAAGAATTAGTATGGGGCTTCCCTGGTGGCGCAGTGGTTGAGAGTCTGTCTGCCAATGCAGCAGACACGGGTTCGAGCCCTGGTCTGGGAAGATCCCACATGCCGCGGAGCAACTGGGCCCGTGAGCCACAACTACTGAGCCTGCGCATCTGGAGCCTGTGCTCTGCAGCAAGAGAGGCTGCGACAGTGAGAGGCCCACGCACCACAATGAAGAGTGGTCCCCGCTTGCCACAACTAGAGAAAGCCCTTGCACAGAAACAAAGACCCAACACAGCCAAAAATAAATAAATACATAAATAAATGTATTTAAAAAAAAAAAGAATTAGTATGTGGTGATCTGTCAACACAAATTTCATTAAAGTGTTTGCTTTGATTTTCCTAAGTGATGTTGGACCAGAACAGCTTCTTGCTGCAAAGTTTTCTCTCCTTAGTGAATTGTCTTTGTTCTTGGTGAAATACCATTGCAACAAGAAAACCTGTTGTAACTTTCCTTTGTAAACACAGCTCACTTTACTCAACACCTATTCATAGCAGAAAAGATGTTTATTTTTTAGACCAGTGTCCATTTGACATTATAATCAAAAAGGAGTAAGATTTTCTGTAGACAGATATTTCCCAGACTGTGTTTCCCTAAATCCTTATCTACTGAGTATTGATAGATGTTTGATTTTAAAAACAGAGAGAGGGACTTCCCTGGTGGTCCAGTGGTTAAGACTTCGCCTTCCAGTGCAGGGGGTCCGGGTTTGATCCCTGGTTGGGAGCTAGGATCCCACATGCTTACTGGCCAAAAAACCAAAACATAAAACAGAAGCAATATTGTAACAAATTCAATAAAGGCTTAAAAAATGGGCCACATCAGGGGCTTCCCTGGTGGCGCAGTGGTTAAGAATCCACCTGCCAATGCAGCGGACACAGGTTCGAGCCCTGGTCGAGGAAGATCCCACATGCCGCGGAGCAACTAAGCCCATGCGCCACAACTATGAGCCTGCGCTCTAGAGCTCGCGAGCCACAACTACTGAAGGCTGCGCACCTAGAGCCCGTGATCCGCAACAAGAGAAGCCGCCACAACAAGAAGCCTGTGCACCACAATGAAGAGTAGCCCCTGCTCGCTGCAACTAGAGAAAGCCTGCGCACAGCAATGAAGACCCAACACAGCCACAAATAAATAAATAAAATAAATAAATTTATACTTAAAAAATGGCCCACATCAAAAAAAAATCTAAAAAAATAAAAACAGGGAGAGAAAGTGTGTGTGTGGGGGGGTGTTCTAGGGAAAAACAAGTTAGGTAAATGATGAGTTAAAGTTTAACAGGTTTATTTATTACATGACTTCTTAGAGAATTTAACACGATAACATACATTGGAATTTTAAGCAGGGGAGGGAATATGCAGTTTCTTTAGCTTATGGAATCCTTTCTTTTTATGTAATATCTTGTGAACCATCAATGGAATAATTTGGAATGACTGCCGTATCTAGACCAAGGTTTCTCAGCCTCAGTACTGTTTTTTTGTGTGTTTTTTTTTTAATTTATTTATTTTTGGCTGCGTTGGGTCTTCGTTGCTGCGCACGTGCTTTCTCTACTTGTGGCGAGCGGGGGCTACTCTTCATTGTGGTGCACAGGCTACTTATTGTGGTGGCTTCTCTTGTTGCGGAGCACGGGCTTCAGGCATGCAGGCTTCAGTAGTTGTGGCACGTGGGCTCTAGAGTGCAGGCTCAGTTGTGGTGCACGGGCTTAGTTGCTCCACTGCATGTGGGATCTTCCCGGACAAGGGCTCCAACCCGTGTCCCCTGCATTGGCAGGCGGATTCTTAATCACCACGCCACCAGGGAAGTCCGAAATGGTTTTATTTTAAAATGTATATAATTTTGTAAGCCTAGCTATAGATCTACTGATGCTGATAAAAGGTTTTAGACAATAGATTGCCTCTGAGGGTTCATCATACTGTGTCTAATGTTGACATCCCCCATATTCAGAATAATAGCAACATGGCAAAATACTTAGAAATCTAGAGAGTCTTAGGTCAAAAAACTTTTGATCTTTGTATATCAGAGTATGTTCAGTGAATAATAAGATCTCAATAATTGTATCTATTTTTGTTCTGTTTTGGTCGTGCCACGTGGCTTGTGGGAATTTAGTTCCTGGACCAGGGATTGAACTTGGGTTCTTGGCAGTGAGAGTGAAGAGTCCTAATCACTGGACCACCAGGGAATTTCCAATTGTAGCTGTTATCATCATCATCATGATCATGAGGGGAATATTATCCTTCACAAACAAATAGCACATCAAATATCTTTCATTCTCTTCAGGACCTCCAACCAGCCTGTTTCAGCCACCTCGTCGTCCTGGCCTTGGAACTGTTGGAAAACCAATTCGACTGTTAGCCAATCATTTTCAGGTTCAGATTCCTAAAATAGATGTGTATCACTATGACGTGGATATTAAACCAGAAAAACGGCCTCGTAGAGTCAACAGGTAAGGATTAGAAAGAGTAGGCTTCTTATACATTATTTTTTTTTTACATCTTTATTGGAGTATAATTGCTTTACAATGCTGTGTTAGTTTCTGCTTTATAACAAAGTGAATCAGTTATACATATACATATGTTCCCATATCTCTTCCCTCTTGCATCTCCCTCCCTCCCACCCTCCCTATCCCACGCCTCCAGGCGGTCACAAAGCACTGAGCTGATCTCCCTGTGCTATGCGGCTGCTTCCCACTAGCTATCTACCTTATGTTTCGTAGTGTATATATGTCCATGCCTCTCTCTCACTTTGTCACAGCTTACCCTTCCCCCTCCCCATATCCTTAGGTCCATTCTCTAGTAGGTCTGTGTCTTTATTCCTGTCTTACCGAGAGCTGATCTCCCTGTGCTATGCGGCTGCTTCCCACTAGCTATCTACCTTATGTTTCGTAGTGTATATATGTCCATGCCTCTCTCTCACTTTGTCACAGCTTACCCTTCCCCCTCCCCATATCCTTAGGTCCATTCTCTAGTAGGTCTGTGTCTTTATTCCTGTCTTACCGATAGGTTCTTCATGACATTTTTTTTTCTTAAATTCCGTATATATGTGTTAGCATACGGTATTTGTCTTTCTCTTTCTGACTTACTTCACTCTGTATGACAGACTCTAGGTCAATACACCTCATTACAAATAGCTCAATTTCGTTTCTTTTTATGGCTGAGTAATATTCCATTGTATATATGTGTCACATCTTCTTTATCCATTCATCCGATGATGGACACTTAGGTTGTTTCCATCTCCGGGCTATTGTAAATAGAGCTGCAGTGAACATTTTTGTACATGACTCTTTCTGAATTATGGTTTTCTCAGGGTATATGCCCAGTAGTGGGATTGCTGGGTCATATGGTAGTTCTATTTGTAGTTTTTTATGGAACCTCCATACTGTTCTCCATAGTGGCTGTACCAATTCACATTCCCACCAGCAGTGCAAGAGTGTTCCCTTTTCTCTACACCCTCTCCAGCATTTATTGTTTCTAGATTTTTTGATG